CTTGTGAATTGTAGATCTGTATTGTTTGTAATAATCTGATAATTGGTGTTGGAAGAAATACTGAATATAATACTTGAGGAGTAACTTATTTCAGGTTTGTAGTTTCTAAGAAACAATTCCATCACTTTAATTCAACAAAGTTTGGGATCACGCAATCAAATGATGTGAAGGTCAGTAACAGTTCACGTACACATCAACACTGCCTGCTATACGTACAAATGAAAATTGCCTTTTCAGATTAGGAGAGATATAAATGTGTCTTCTTTTAGCTTATATACTGATTTTTTCACTTTGATGTTTGAAGTCTATTTTAATTCATTCACATGTGAAGCCAGTCTGTATAGGGGAAAACCACGCCCTTGTTTTGGTTTTCCCGAGCCTCTCAACCAATCAGAATGCTGGATTTAGTTCATATTCAGCCTCTTTAGCATAATGGGGACGTACTCGCGATCAAAATATTCTTTTGATTTCTGATTTTTCTGTATACGTATTGTATTTTAAACTTGCAAAACGTATACGTCCCATACTATGACGTTGATATGAAGTGTGCAAACAAAAGGATTTCTTTTTAATTGTAGGATTTATAATGTGTGTTTGTATGCACATGTACATATATAGGAAACTATTCCAATGCACTATATTATCATTATCCCTGCAAGTTGGGCTCACACATCTATGAGCATTCCTGAAACCATCTCAGCTCCCTGGGGAGTATACTAGCCTGATGCTGCCATGTCAGCGCAAACGGCTAAACATAACTGTGTCTGCCCTGACAGGTACCCATTCACTCCTGGGTGGAGAGAGGCACATAGGGGTAAAGTGATTTGCCCAAGATCATAACATGCTGCTACCAGCTGGATTTGAACCCCTGACCCTAGGATCAAAAGCTACAACTGTTACAACTTAGTTACAACTGTTTTGCCAGTTTGCTACCACTTTGCTATTTCACATGTATTTTTAATTCACCATATCATAAATCTTGCCTTCAACTATTTGTCAGCTTGTCACAGCTAGGCTAATTGAATTGAAGCTGTGACTGGAAAGAAAGACCACACTGCAAATAGTCCAATGATTACAAGAACAACTGTTCTATGTAAACAATTAATAGAAAGTTTAACAGCGCCATCTGTTGTTCGCCTATGATGCAAGATCGGCTCGCAGTGGAGTCTTGTTTGTGACCACAAGAAGGCTCAACAGGAAAACATCAGGTCATTAGGGCAGGCCATAGGTTTCTGGATGTTCGCAAAACTTGAATTGCTGATCCAGTTGCTCAACCAGCTTTGAACTAATTTGCCCTTGAGCAGTCTAAAAAATAACTGCTCCAAATAGAGCGAACTCCCACAGTTACAGGCATGAAAGCGCGCAGCTCTGAGGATCACACAAACTTCCCACCTCTATACTGTCTCAACACCAACAGAGCTGTGACACACCCAAAACTGCTTATAGATCCTTGCCATCATCTTTTCACATACAAAATAAATTCCACTAACCTAAAAAAGGATTTTTTTTTTCAATTCAGAATTCTCCAGCAACATCTGCAAGAGAAGCAAAGAGTCTTATCTAGAAGTCATCTCATTATTACAATTATCTAGGCGCATTCTAAAAACACGAATATAATTATTAACCCATCTCGGAGAATATGAAGAAAACACATTAATTAGTGTTCGCTTCCTGCAACAAATACAGTGGATAGGAAAACGTTGTGTCGCTTTCCTCCGATGCAGTGATAGGATTAGGAACGACTAGAATTAGATCTGGAATACAGGGAAACAATGTAAAACTTGTAGTAGTTATTGAAGTGCTTGTAGGCCTTAAGACTCACTTCGCCTTAGGAAATTAGCACCTACATTTTCGCTGCCCTTGATGCACTCAATCTTAAACCTGTATGGCTGTAAGGACAATGCCCAAAGAAGAATTCGACTGTTGGCAAACCAAAGGCTGGTGGTCCGTCTTGAGAACAAATTCACGACCGGAGAGATATGTCTGAAATTTTTGTACAGCCCAACGATGGTTAAGCACTCCCGTTCTATACTCGAATAGGAACACTCCCATGGAAGTAATTTCCTACTGGCATAGGCCTCTGGAAAATCAGTGTCATCTTCTCGCTGCAGGAAAACAGCTCCAATACCAATATTCAAAGCATCAGTACGTAGTAAAAATAGCCTTTGAAATCGGATAGATGAACTGGTGCAGTATTCAACCTTTCCTTGAGTGTCTGACATGCGTATTCTTGACTCTGTTGCCACTGGATGCTGGTTGGCTCTTTCTTCTTTGTCTTGTCGGTGAGGGGTGCTGCAATCGCCGCATAATTTGGAATAAACTTCCTATAGTACCTTGTCAACCCTAAGAAAGAGCGTAACTGCTTCTTTGTTTTGGGTCTTGGGGCATCCTGGATTTTGGTCAGCTTCTCAGGCAGTGGTTCCATCAGCCCTTGTCCTACAATGTGACCTAGGTACTCCAGTTAAGCAAAACCTGCAAAACACTTGGTTGGACGAGCTGTCACACCATACTGTTCCAATCTCTCAAAGAGACAATCCAGAGTGTTGAGATGCTCTCCCCAAGTTTTGGTGTGGACCAAAATGTCGTCAGTAAAACCGTCAACATTACACATACCTCTCAGCATCATTTGCATCATCCTGCTAAAAGTTGCTGGGGCATTGACAAGCCCAAATGGCATAGGGGTGAACTGATAAAGGCCATCTGGAGTGATGAAGGCAGTCTTCTCCTTTGCTGCATCTTCTAGAAGTATCTGCCAGTATCCCTTGCTGAGGTCGATTTTGGTGAAATACTGGTCCTTTGACAGCTTGAAAAAAATCTCTTCTGGGTTGATTCTTTGGATGTGGGGGAGCCATTTGTAGTGAATCATCCAGCATTTGGACTGCTGCAGGTCCTGTATCCTCAAGGTCTTCCTCGATGACAGCTGTAGATACAATGTCGAATATTCTTTCTGGCAAACAAAAACTGAGGAAACAAGAAGAAGCCTGATTAATTTTGTCAACTTGTTCAACATACTGTTTCAATAGGTTAATATGGTAGGTCTGCATTCGGTTACCCAAGTCAATTTTGTAGTCACAGCTGTTCATTCGTTTAACAACAGAGAATGGGCCCTTCCACTGCAGGAGTAGCTTGTTATTGTCTGCTGGGAGAAGAAGGACTTTGTCCCCTCCTTTAACTGACCTGGTCGAGCTTTCCGGTTATAGTACTTGCTGTACCTTTCGGTAGACTTCTTCAACTCTTCTTGCGCTAGTTGACATGTGTCTTCGATACTGGACCGCAAATCTATGACATGTTTGCCTTCACACTGTTAGAGTATCTGGTCCATCCGATGTTGGAAAATATCCTGACTGACTGCCAGGCCAAACGGCATGCGCTTGTAACAATAGCGACCGAAGGGGCTATTGAGTGTCGTCAACAGTGAACTCTCCTCGTCGAGGTGGATGGACCAGTAACCGTGTTTCGCGTCCATTTTGCTGAAAACTGTGGCGCCAGCAAGTTTGTGCGTAATCTCTTTCAGTGTCGGTGTCTTATGATGAGATCACATGAGTGCCTTGTTAAGGTCTTTAGGGTCCAAACAAACGCGTAACTGACCATTAGCCTTGCGCGAAATGGCGATGCTACTAGCCCAATCTGTGGGCTCGGTAACACGTCGGATGACACCCTTTGCCTCCATTTTGTCTAATCCGACTTGAGTTCATTGCGGATGTGAATGGAGCACTTACATGGGGCGTGTACAATGGGTTGTGCACCATCGCGAAGCACAATGTGATATCCACCAGGAAGATCCTCAACTGAGCGAATCGGCTGGTTTTGTGGTCTGATGTCTGTGTCAGACTGAGCGTGCGATTCAACAGAACAGTTTAAGGCTACAATGTTCAACTGCAGAGCCGTGCGAAGACCAATGATAGCTGGGCCATCAGTCTCACAGATGTGAAACTCAGCATTGTGCCATTCGGACTGGGCATGTTTGCATGGGAGAGTCAGTGTGCCGTATTGCTTAATCTCTGTGCCATTGTTTGCTTTGAGAACAGCACCAGAGTTAGCAAGATGTCCCTTGCGCGGAAATCCATCAGAGTCCAAGTGAGTTGGGTACATTCGACGGTAAATG